GCCACTGTCTTACGGAAGAGGAAGAGAGAGAAGGAGATGCCACACCTGGTGGAGCACAATGGGGCTTTGGACACACAAGTCAATCAGATTCATGCACTGGTAAGAGGGGACTTGAGGCACAGTGGTGAGGCTGCTTTTATAGAAGTACTCAGGAGGGTCTGCTCCTTTGGGCCCATTTGATTGGGTTTCAGTTGATATAGGGGACGGTCAGGTCTCTAGCTGAGGGGCATTTAGAATTGGTCTTGGCATGTTACCCTTTCTACTCTTGATTAAGTGAATGGTTGAGTGACCCTAGTTGGCATGTGCAAGTCTTTCCTCCACCAAGCCATGTAGTTGAGCTGGTAGGAGGGTTGACATCGGGCACACTTAGACAACATCTCTTCCACATGCTAATCTCATTTTCTTGAATAGCTGATGTCCAGTTAGTAAAAGAGAAAGCAAAAAAATACTCATTCTACTTATCCTGTGGCCAAGATAACTTGGTTTCCACTTACATCTCTGATGCCAACTAGAATTGGAGTGGTCTTTTCCCACCTACGTCTCTAGACATACCGTGTATTTATATACCAAGACTGAAGTCATTGGTATATTCACTGGAGCACAGTCAGCAGCTGCTTTTACCCTAGAATAGCAGCATTGAATGGTTGCATCAGAAAATACATGACCCACAAAACCAACAATGTTTACTCTCTGCCATTTAAAGAAATGATGTGCTGACCTTGATCTGTAATTGTTTCCGTACACCCCACTTCTATTTTTTATTTTAATGAAAGCTTACAGAGACTTAGGGTTTCCATTCATTCATGGTTGCACTTTTCTCCCTGCCCACCCCTCCCCCCCAATTTGCTCTTCTCTTTGAAAAGTAAAAGAAAAATTCTTTTTTTACAATCCCTCCCCCCAAGTCCACTCCACTGTGAAGCATTCATTATGGACTACTGTCATGACAATAATACCTAATCCTATATTCCTTTTAAACGGTTCTCTCCCTCATCTGTTTCAATGCAGTATACATACTTTATCCCGTTTTTCTCAGTCTTACCCCAACCCTGATGTCAGTTCCATTCTACAACAGTGGTACTATGCAGTATTTGTCCTTTTGTGATTGAGATATTTCACTCAGCATAATGTCCTCCAGGGACACCCATTTTAAATAATATTTCATGAATTCCTTGTTTTTCAGTGCAGTGTAGTATTTCATTGTGTGAATATACCACAGCTTCTCTAAGATCGGATGGTTGGGCACTTGGGTTGTTTCCAGCCCTTTGCTATTGTGAACAAAGCCGCAGTAAACATGGGTGTGCACATACACCCTACTTTTATGGTAGTTAATAACATCTAGACCTCGTTTATGGGAAGTTGTTGTTGTGTGCCGTTGAGTTGCTTGCGACTCATAGCAACCTTATGTACAACAGCCCTAAACTCTGCTCTGTCCTATGCCAATTGCACTGTCTCTGACACTCCCATCCTGATTATCCCAGTCACTGAATCAATCCACTTCATAGAGGGCCTTCCCCTCCTGCACTGTCCCTCCACCCAACCACGCATGATGTCCCTTTCCAAGGACTGGTCCCTCCTTACAACATGTCCAAAGTATGTTAGACAGAGCCTCAGAATCCTTGCCTCCAAGGAGCCACCCAGTTTAACCCTTTCCAGGATGAATCTGTTTCTTAGCAGTCCATGATACATTCAATACTCTTCTCCAGCACCATAGCTCAAAGGCATCAGTTCTTCTTCTGTCCTTCCTAGTCATTGTTCAACTCTCTGATGCATAACAAGTGATAGCAAAGACCATGGCCTGCATCAGACTTGTGTACTAAAGCAACATTTTTAAAACTAAACCCATTGCCTTCAAGTTGATTCTGGCTCTTAGCAACCCTCCATTGGATTTCTGAGGTTATAAATCTTAACAGAAAGAGGCTGCCTATCTTTCTCCCATGGAGTGGCTAATGGAAGCTAATGGATTTGAACTGTCAGCCTTTCGGTTACCACAACATGCGGCACATTATGCCACCAGAGCTCTTTTAATGAACCCAACAGTCTTATCTACAGTCAGTTTTAGAGATGGCATTAAAAAACCCGCTGCTGTCAAATCTATTCCAACTGTTAGACTTCAAGATTGTCAATTTCTACTGGGTTTCCGAGGCTTTATGGAAGGAGTCTGACCATTTTTGTCTCATGGAATTAAACTGCAGCTCTTTCAGCTGTCAGAAACTGGCATAGTTCCAGCTAGGAAACTTGTATAGACTTGTTACATTCTAATTTCAGACCTAATTGGTTAGTTGATATTGTGTGCTGTCAGATCCCACTCATAGCTGACCCTCTAGCCAGTTTTCCTGGACAGTACATCATTTGGGAGGAGATTACCCATTTTTCTCTTTCAGAGCTCCTAGTGGATTCAAACTGCGTACCTTTGTGTTGGCAACATAATGCCTTACCACTAAGCCCACCAGAAAAAAATGATTAAGTAAAAAGACTAAACTTAGAGAAATGAGAACACTTAACTCGAATTCACAAAATCTATTAACTAGTTTTAGACCAGGCTGTTTTGGGGGTTTTTTGCCTTCATTAGATTGTTAACTATCCATAGGGTTCATTTTCTTCATGTTGATTCTGTTGCTCTCAATCCTCCAGTGAGTTACCAAGGGACTAGAAAAGGTGATGCCCTCTAATCTTACCTAAACCTGAAAGGCCTTTCATGATGCTGACCCCGCCCCATCATTTACCCTACTCCCCAGGCTCTACTGTTTCTCTGCTGGGACTTCTTTGTCCCTGTCAGCTCTCCACATTGGAGGTTGCTCACTGGCCCCTGTGGGGCCCACTTCTTCAGTCTGTCCAGCCCCTGAGACAGACTATGCTGACGTACATGTCCTCTCACTCCATCATACATCCCCTTTACCTGTCCCTCTTCCTCTCCAACACTCCAGAACCTGGTACGTGAGAAAGGGCACCTTGAACACCTGGAAGGAGAAGGTGTACCATTCCAGCATGCAGGGGTTTACCTGCCCTTCTCCACAGAGGTTCCATGTACTCAGTATCATAATCTGTGGCAGGAATAGGGCAACTTGGGGACAGGCACTTCCAGAGATGGTGACTGCAGCAATGAGCTCAAGTATATCGGATGGCGAGGGGTCACTGCATAGGGCAGGGTTCAAATCTGTTTATAAGGTCACTATGAGTTGTTCTCGACATTGTAGCACCTAATAACAATATATGCATTTGCAGTGGATGCAAGGTCAAATTTTGGTTCCCGTGGATTTAATTTTCCTTCACTTCAGCTTGAACTTGGATATGTATAGTTGGTTTGATCCACAGTCAGCACCTGGCCTAGTTTTCACAGCTGATACTGAGCTTCTCCAGCAACTTTTTGTGCAGATACAGTCAATCTGATTCCTATGCGATACCCATGTGTCCAGCCTGTGTTTGTGTTTCTTATAAAAAGTATATATCTTTGATCAGAATTAAGAAAATTATATTAAAGAAGGTCTTTGGAAAATGGGCTTAATTTAAGGGAAGGCAGGAAACCCTGGAGGTCCTGTGTGCAGTGTGCATCATAAGAGGCTCACTTTGTGAAAGAAGTTTGAGTAAAGGAGTCTTAGGAAACACTGAACAGGAAATGATGTGATCTGGTGGCCTGATCCCCTCCTGGGTGTTTGGTTCCTGTCCCCTGACCACATCTGTACCACCATTGTCCCATTTTCACTTCCTATGCATGTGATGTGATAGTGGAAGGTGTCTGTTTGATTTGTTCCCACTTCTCAACTCTTCCTCAATAGGGTAATGGTGAAGCATTCAGCCCTTTGAAGAAGAAGCAGAAGGTGAAGGCAGAAAATGATTTTGTGAAGTTTGACACCCCCTTCACACCAAAGCCTTTGTTTTTCAGAAAAGCTAGAAGCACTGGCTCCATCTCCTTTAAGAGCCCCACTGTCCAGGTATGTCCATGCACAGTTATGTTTGCAGAAACTGCAACCTATCCCTCCTCTCCCACAAAGGGCACAGCAGAGCTTTGTTGCTGGCCCCGGAGTCTCTGGTGCCACCTAACCCATTGTGTGGTCAACAGACTCCAGGGCCCTGGGTCCTATCTGGGGGATCAGGTACCCTGCACCAGGTTGCACTGGTGTTGCAGGAGGTCCAGTCTTACTCTTGATCTCTGTTCATAGCTATATAATCATGTCGAGACTCTTAAAGGGTGCTCAGGTGCTACCCGTGCGGGATCCACAGTGAAGGGGACAGTGCAGAGTTCTGGACCAGGCAGACCCTACACTCCCTTATGTAGAAGAAGAAATGCCCAAGAGAAGCAACTGTGTGAACCAGGAGATGGGACCATTGCTGAGGAGCAGTGAAGTAGTAGAAGGGTCAGAGTTATTTCCAAAGGCCAAGACGAAGAGAGTGTCTCACGGAGGGGCAGATCACCCTGTCAGGTGCTGCCGATGGGCATTTTCTCCGAGTTTAGCCACTAGGAGGCGGAACACAGCCAGGTGCACAGCGTACATAGGAAAGCATTTGTGATGCTGGAGGACCTATGGAGGCAAGCTCTTGACAAGGAATGGAGAATAAGCGTCCAGCCATGGTCCTGCCTTTCCTGACTGAGAAGAAGGCAGCATTGAGGGTTTTGGCTGGGCCTTTTTCAAGGCTTAGAAAATATCCTATAAGTTTTCCAGAGAGAGAGGAGGCCACCACAGAGCAATCAGAGCACCTCAGTTTTCCTGTTTGAACCCTCTTCTTGTTTTTCTTCTGTAGTTAAATAAGATCCCATCCAGCTCCAAGAAGGTTACCTTTGGGCTGAACAGAAACATGACAGCAGGTGAGCATGGTGTTGGCTTTACCAGACGTTTCAGTGGGAGAATGTTCTTCTCATGGAAGGGGGCGGAGGGGTTGAAGGCCCCTCAAGGGCAAGCATCAGGCAGGCAGCTGTGGAGGTCTGGGTGTCTGGGAAGCTCTGTGCCACTGCCATTTACATCAGAAATAAGCTCTCAGCCAGGGTGTGAGTAGGTGAGAGTGTCTGCACACCTCCTGAGGGGAGGCTAGAGGCATTCCCATAAAAGGTGATGTCAAAAGCCATCTTCACAAACTAAGTTCAGTCATTTCCCAGAGAAGCCTGAGGAGATGCTAATAGTCCTGTCAGCTCTTGGCTAAGAGGAACTACTTGCTGCCTGAGAGAAGGAAAGGGATTACAGTATATGTGGTAGTGATGGTGGTGGTGATGTTGGAAAAATCAGGGCAAGTTCCAGCCCCTGGAATATTATTCACTGCCATCCCTTAAAGCCGACCCTCCAGCAGCTTTTCAGAGGCTGTAAATCACATGGTAGGGGATTGTTCATCTTTCCCCCTCAAGCAGCCAGTAGATTTAAACCACCTGCCTTTGGATTGGCAGTGCAACTCCTTATCCACTATAGTGGCCACCAGAGCTCCTTTAAAGTGTATGCAGACTTGCACACAGGTACTATCTGGTAAAGACCTGTGGTACTAAGGCCCTGCCTGGGCTTCTGAGTTCTGGTCTTTTATAAGAAAATGGAGGCACTAAAGCCCCTAAAAGAAAGGGTCTGTATCCTCTTTATTCTGGCCTCCATGTTCCTTAAACCCCTCCCACTGCAAAGCGTATGCTTTCAGGATAGGCATCCCTTGGAGCATCCCCAGATCTGTTAGGAATACGCTTTGGGAAGTTTCAGTCCCTTGTGGCCTCCCTACTTTTCATTTCCCAAAGTTATTTGGAGGGAGCAGGAGTGGTGACATATGAAAGACCCAGGCCAGACAAGCAAAGGTGTCATCTGATTAACATGGGGCTTTATTTTCGTCTGGGACAGAATTCAGGAAAACAGACAAGAGTATCCTAGTAAGTCCCACAGGCCCATTCCGAGTAGCCTTCAACCCTGAGCTGCGGCCCCTCCATGGTGTCCTGAAGACACCCACAAGCTCTCCCTGCAGCACTCCTGTGGCGCCCAAGAAAGTGATGTCCACCCCTCCTCCAAAGAGAAGACCAACTGCCATGGATTTCTTCTGATCTAACACCAGCACTCTTGTTTTTTAAAGACTGCTTTTGTACAGAATGTGTTGTAAATTATACCTTTTAAAATGTGGGTCCTTTTTTTATTGTTTTATAATTTCCCATGAACTTTATGTGAAAGTTCCTGACTAAGCTGGCCCCTGTCACTGCTTGAGCTTAAGCTCTGAGATTCCAGTGCGTGGTACATCTCTGGTTACTCTGAACTTGGGACTCGAGACCAGACTGCTCCCTATGAATGGAGCTCAGGAGAGCACAGTGATCCATAACTTTCAATAAAGCATTGCCAGTAGCACGGTTAAAGCACGGGATGTCATTTCCTGGTCGGCTCTCAATTTATGTAGACTTTCAGTCCTTGTTTCCATGTTTTCCAAGCCAGTTTGTTTTCTGGTTATATTTAGTCTGTTTTAACAATGCTGCTTTTTAAAATCATGTAGGGCTTGCTTTACTCTCTGTGGGTGTTGGCAATTCACCGCTAGGGATGATTTTTCTTCATGAATTAGCAATAACATCGTTTTTCTACTTGTGATCAGCTGTGGGAAGCTCAGCCTCAGACTATTGCTTCCACACCTTTGTCCTGTTTCCCGCCCTCCCTTCCTACCTCTGTGGCAAGTCCAAAGTGTCTTCTGTAGGAGGGTGGTACCCCCCTTCGACTCCAAAGGACTGTGGGTCCTGAGCAGAGTCCCTCTGCTGTGGTTGGGATTGGTCTTACATTGAGCTCACTCATTCTTCCAAGTTAAGAGTCCCCACTGTCTCCTATGTATGGAAGCACTTGAGCCAAGAGCCTGAGGGACCCAAAACAGTTTCTTCTCATCTTGGGCTAAAATGAAGTGCTCTGAAGGCATGGCAACAGTGTCCGAAAGCTGTGTTCCCTCTAAAATGCAGGAAATCAGCAACGTGTAAGATTGTGCATATTCGTTTTTCCCCTCGAAGTTGTTCATCACTATTTATTTGTTCATAGCTACTCTCATTTATCTAAAATCTTGACAAACTAGCAGATTTTTATAAGGTGTTTTG